CTCTCCGATTTTGATGAGCTTTTAGTATGTTGTTCAGCCAATCGGGGGGTCTGATCGCTGGCTGCAAGTGGCCCGGAATTCGCATCACTGGCTCATGCCGAAATTCGTACATACCCTCGCTTCGCATAACCGCTTCTCGATTCGTATTCTGAAAACAAGTCGCGCTCGCTCGCGTCTCGCTCTTCGTCTCTTTTCTTTTTTCTTCCTGCATTTTCAAATTCTTCTCGCTCGCGTCTCGCTCTTCGTCCCTGTTCTTTTTCCTTCTTACATTTTCAAATTTTTCTCTTGAAAATGTTAACCAAAAAAAAATCGTCCCTGTTCTTTTTTCTTCTTACATTTTCAAATTTTTCTCTTGAAAATGTTAACCGAAAAAGAAAGAATATTGCTGCTTATGTATCGAGGATTTGGAGACCATGTTAGATCTTACCAAGAAGTGGCTGATCTATTCAATGCTGAACATCCGGATCGTAATCCTATTTCTAAATCTACCGTTCAAAAAACAGTGATACGGTTTTTTGAAGCAGGAACAGTTAAAGACCGACCTCGCAGCGGAAGGCCAAAATCCGCAACAAATGATGATAAGAGTTTAGATGTTCTGCAATCATTTCAGGAAAATCCTCATTTATCTGTGTCAAGAGCAGCGCAAGCCCATGACATCAGTGAAGGTAGCGTTTTTAACATTTTACAAAGACAGAAATATCATCCTTATAAAATTATTATTGCTCAAGAACTTATGGAAGACGATTTTGATAGAAGAATTTAGTTTTGTGAAGAAATGATGCGCCGAATTGGTGAGGGTAACTTTTTGAATTTTGTTGTTTTTTCTGACAAATAAGCAATGTGATGAAGCCATGTTTGAAATAAACGGTGCTGTTAATCGTCACAATTGCAGGTACTGGAGTGATGAAAATCCACATTGGATGAGTGATCTTCGCACACAGTATCCACAAAAATTGAATGTCTGGGCAGGAATCTGTAGTCGCGGTATTATTGGTCCATTCTTCATAAATGGTAATTTGACTGCTGAGAAATATGAAAATTTATTGCGAGACCATGTCATACCTAATATTGAAAACTTATTTGATGCCGATATGCAAAATGTTTGGTTCCAGCAAGATGGAGCAGGGCCTCACTATGCAATAAGAATTCGAGAATTTTTGAATCGATCTTTTCCTGATCGATGGATAGGTAGGAGAGGTGCAATTGAGTGGCCTGCTAGATCACCTGATTTGACTCCCCTTGATTATTTCCTTTGGGGGCATCTCAAAAGTAAGGTTTATGCGACAAAACCACATAATTTGGAAGATCTTAGGAATCGAATAATGAACGAAGCATCGCTGATTACTTTAGAACAAATAAGCAATGTGATGAATAATTTCTATGAACGTTTAGCTCATTGTCAAACGGTATAAGGGAGACACTTTGAACATTTAATTAATTGAAGAAATGGAATCCAATATTTAAAAGGTATGTCACTGTCACTCGCGCGTGCGCGCGCGCGCACACACACACACACACGCGCGCTCGTGCGCGCGCGCGCGCACACGCACACACACAAGAGGTGTAAATCCGACCGTGCAACCTCCACGCAGTGCACTTTGGGTAATGCTAATGCCGGCGGTACTTTCGAGCCTTATAACTCGAAAAATACTTAATGGAAAAATATTTTGTTATAGTGTTTTGAAAAGCTCTCGAGGTAAGCTACAAGAAAATGTAATGAAAAATAGGGGGTTCCATTTAAAAAAATCGGCGTGACCTTAACCTGGCCTTGGCGACGCCACCCAAGGTCAAACTGATTATATCGGTAAATACATCATTTGAAATCTTACAATTTTTGTCTGAAACATTTTTATCAAAAATGCTTCATTTTCGAGATATTCGACCGTTTCCGGACTTTTTGAAGACCCTGATTTATATATATATACATATCTGGAGACACTGGTAGTGTCTCGGCGCTAAGCCAAGCGCAGCGACATTGCCGTGGCTACTTTAGGCGAATCTGTCAAGATTTCCAGACGGCGATTATGGGATCTCAATGACGGCTCTCCCGATTGAGTTCTAAGTGTGCTCAATCGATTGCATCCGCTCGGAATATATAATGAAAGTGTTTTTGTTTTTTCTCTACGTGCTCTACGAGCGGAGATATTGCGATGCAAAATGATGCAAAATCCGAATTGAAACTTTTAATCTGGAGACACTGGTAGTGTCTCGGCGCTAAGCTGCGCGAAGCGAGCACTGCCGTGCTTCCTTTACGCGAACCAACGAGTTGCGGCAGATCGAGATTATCGGATCTCAATAACGGCTGAACCGATCGCGTTCTATGTATGCTCAATCGATAGCCACCACACGGATTGTATCATAAAAGTGATTTTATTTTTTTTCTACGTGCCCTACGAGCGGAGATATCGCGACGCAAAGTTCCGAACTGCTACTTTTCAGATCATCAGATTCAGATACGTCGTTATTATCGTCATTGTCGTCGACCAGGAGAAAATGTCCATCTCGTTTTTTCGACACTAGAGGGCTTTTGACTTAACCTAGCGATGGCAGCATTGCACATTCGAACGTGATTAATCACGTATGATGGCTGTGATAATCAGCGATGGCAACATTGTCACATATACGATGTGACGTGTTAATTAAAATTAATTAATTGAAATTAAAATTAATAAATGAATTAAAATAAAATATTAATTATAATTAAAATGAAATATCGAGATTGTCGTTGATGAAGATCTAGGTATTTACCGCGTCGAGAAAGAGGGTGTATAGATATTCAGGAATTAAGCGTCTAGGTGTTCGCC